CTGTCATTTATTTGTCTGTCATTTATCTGTCTGTAATTTATCTGTGTGTCTGTCTGTGTGTGTGTATGGTATACCTGGTATAAAGGTTGTAAAGAGAACCAGTGAGAACCATCCTAGCGTAAAACCGGCGAAAAACTAGTGAAAGTATTTTTTTTTGTAATTAAGAACCATACATCAACATTATCTTTATATCTTCTCTCTTGATACAACTCGATCAAATAATTGATTTCATAATATTGTTACTGGCAAAATGTTTGCTGAAAGTCTTTTATGGAGCTTTATTGCCAATGTGATAAATAAAATAAATCTAACACAGAAAAGAAACTTCCGGGTTCGAGTAAAAAACAATTCCGGTTCCAAGCCAAATATTGATTTTTTCCTTAAATTCACATGCATATTATTATAATGATTTAGGTTGGGGTTGAGAGGGGTTAATGCAGTTACCCACGGTCATTAATAATTAATGATCCATTTTTATATTTAATGAACGTCTGAGAACCATTTTATTGATTGAAAACTTTATTACAAAGTTAAAAAATTGTTGGAAAACTGCACTCCACAGTCTACAGTCTGCTTCATAAAATGTTTACTTGGAAAACTTTTAAATGCAAACTTTTCAAGGATTTTATCTAGGGGGGGGCAGGAAAAACGTTAAAAATTATTGATTGGATTGAAATGCTTCAAAAATAATCGAAGTATTTTTTATTATTTGCTAAAGAGTGGAGAAGGGGGACAAAAATCTAGAATTCTTAGAAAAATTCATCTATCAAATTTATATTTTAAAACATCTAATAATTATGTTAAAAATTCATTAAACAATAAAAAATAAAGGTTTGAAAAAAATGCATAAAACAAGGGGGGGGGGGAGCAGAAAACAACTTCGCAATAAAGCACATTTTTTGTTTAAAATTTGATTAATTTATTCAAATTAAACAAAATAATTTCCATATTTTGCAAAATAATTGTATACCAGCCGTGGAACGTATAAAAACACACAATAAAATCAAATATTTAAGAAAAAATGAAATTCTCAATTTTAGATTTAAATTTTAAATATTTAGGTTAGATAATGTAAAAAAATCCCGGCTGATTTTTATAATTATTCCGTCATATAGAAAGAAATCTTATTTTTGCAGATAAGTACGGCTTCTTATATTCAATGTGCTGCAAAAAGTGTCAGAAAAGTTAATATACAAAAAAATATGACGTTATGTAATTTGCTTATTTTGGTAGTTAAAGTTTTAATTTTTATTCAAAAGTTTGCTTTCATTACATACATGGTGCAACATTTTTATTCTGAGAAAATAGATTTACTATTTACAATTAACATTTATTTTTATGAAAGTATTCTGTAACATTAACAGATGCAATTCAAAAATTATCGTGAAATTCAATGACTCAGACTTAAAAAAAATGGCGGAACAGGTGCGCAAACGAGAAATCCTTTGCCGCGTAAAAAAATTTAGATTCCGAGTAATGAGTGTAATTCAGTTTCAAGTGCAGCCATGCGCACTACCGGGATTTTGGAAGGGGCCCTTTTGTTAATTTAATAAAAACATAACAAATAAATAAAGTCGTTGAAAATTTTTAATTGTATTAATTTTTCAAATTGTGCTTCACCTGGTCAATGTTAAGAGAATTTAAAAAACATTTTTTCAAAAGAAAATTAAAGATCATGGTTCTAAATATCATTTTTAATATTACTCTAATTTGATCAATACAAAATATAAAACCTTATTTTCGTTTTTTTTTTGAAATGAACAGAATGCTTATTGCATTTTTTTTATGATTCCACAGTAATTTCACACTTTACAATTCTGCGTGATTTCTGGGAGGGAAAGAGGCCTTTCTGGGGGAGTTTTGAGGAAAAAAGGGAGGGGTAAGGGTAGAGGGAAGGCAAGGGGTAAGGGTAGAGGGAAGGGGAGGGGGAAGGGTATAGGGACTGCGAGGTGGGAGATGGAAGGGGAGAGGGAAGGGGAGAGGGAAGGGGAGGGGTAAGGGTAGAGGGAAGGGGAGGGGTAAGGGTAGAGGGAAGGGGAGAGGGAAGGCGAGGGGTAAGGGTAGAGGGAAGGGGAGAGGGAAGGCGAGGGGTAAGGGTAGAGGGAAGGGGAGAGGGAAGGCGAGGGGTAAGGGTAAAGGGAAGGGGAGAGGGAAGGCGAGGGGTAAGGGTAGAGGGAAGGGGAGGGGTAAGGGTAGAGGGAAGGGGAGGGTTAGGGTGTAATTTGTGAGGGTACTTTATCAAATAATGATACAAACAACAATAGAATAATTAATTGATAGAATTGGAAAAATGACAGGATAGAGGAATCTGGGATCTTGGAAGGACAAGGCAGGAGGGGGGGGGGGGATATTCTTGTTTAAAGCTGTGACAATAAAATTTTGAAATCAATTTGTGAAATCTTAAATTTTATTGTTTCGTTTTGAAACATGCGAGTACCACAACCGCTCAATGTGAATGTAATACCATAAAATTTCATAAAAATTGGTTACAAATGTGGAAATTAAAAAAATTAAAATTACGGGGTTATACATTTTTTTCACAGAAAAATAACAAGGCTTTCGATCATTTTGGAGAAAAAAAATTGGACCTAAACTTGCAAGTTTTGTCGCCCTTTTTTGAACTTTATTTGTTGTATTTTTTTTAACTTTATTAGTTGTAAAAAAAAATCACTTTTTTTCTATTTTAGCAAATAAAAACTTAAAAAACAGATAGCGGCGCTCTTTGGGGGAATTGATTTTTCCTGAAGAAAAACGGGGGTGGGNTGGGATATCTCTTCAAGAAACTAAAAATTCTTTTGTGTGTATGTTTTGTACACTGTACACGATCAGAGTATTGAAGATTAGTTCAGTACGCACTACGCACCAAGGTTATAATGCAAGGAAAGTTAATTGCAGTTGCGTATACTCTGCGTACATATTGAAACCAGTTCTCTCTGTGCGGAATTTGTAAACAAGAATAGATGCATGCATCAGTGTTCGTTTAGTATCCGAGGAGGTTAAAAGCATTAAATTTTGATAATTTTGATAATTTACATAATAGTTTAATATGACCAGAATATTTCATTGATTTTTATGTGAAAGATGGATCCCATGTCAGGCTTCGACATTCGTCTTGTGCTTACATTACCGCCCAGAGACAGTACAATGCAGTACAAAAGATGCACACCTCTGAAACAACCTTCCTTGCATTATAACCTTGATACGCACTAAAATATTAGTTTTGTGTGTTGTGTGTATGTACACTGTACACTGTACAAGGTGTGTAGTATTCATGCTGTGTCATTGTAGTATATTTAAAGAGAAAGTCCCCCAAGGATCATTTATCAAAGTTTTCTTAAAGAGCCATTCTAATAATAATGGAATAAGTGTTGGGTCGATTAGGTATTTCATACAAGAAAAATATACACAGTTACTCAAGAAATTTCCATGGAACTATAGTATATAGTAGGTATATATTTTATATATTTTTGACTTGCATGTTCGGGTGTTTGCTGGTTTGTATATCTAATAAAAGTCGAAATCAGGCTCAATTTAATTTTGTAAAAAATAGATACAATTAAAATACCATTTAAAAGCCTAAACTCATGTGAGCAACACAAATCTATTTCGCCACATTTTCATGTAATAGTAGCTGCCCCTTTTGTACAGGGTGTCCCAATAACATGGGAATCAAGACTTGAAAATCCTCTTCGATATCTGATAGTTGATAAATGACAAGGAGAGTATCAAAATAAAGACTGAACGCAATATATAAATTTGATAAACTATATTTTGGAATTCCAGAAACTAATAGTTTTACTGTTTTATCTGGAATACTAAACAAATTGTGTTTCACGTAATAATGCCACGTTGAACAAAGACGACATGGAAGTCGTCACTTGCAGATTCCTATGTTTATTGGGACACCCTTAAACGTTGTCAGCTTTACTTAAAAAAAAATAATTAAAATTTTCTTGCTGTAGGTACATATAGGCTACGTAGATGATTAGAACTCAAGTTTTTAAAATTATTTTTTTTTGCAGGGGGCCGGGGGACGCGACGGTGGGGGGTTTACTTTAATATTAAATTAAATTTAAGAAATGCACAAATTAGCTTTAAAGTTATAACAGATGTTTTTCGATAATAATTCTTGGAAATAATTTGAAACCTTAGAATTCTAAAAATAATGTTTTTTGTCCCGGAAAGAGGAAACGATAATACGATAAGGTTTTATTTTCTTAAAACATATAGAATATTTTTACTCCAACTCTAGGTAGAGTTAGTCATAAATATTTTACTTTGGATGGAAATAATATAACAGGTGTTATTATTGGAAGTTTTTTTTTAAATGCCAGTGCAACTTTACTTAAATGTGTTTTTTGGGATGGGAGCCGGGGATTAGAGGTCAAAAAAATAATAGGTTACATGATGAGATATTTAAACCAACCATATAATGTTTCTATAATCAATATAATTTTCCTGTGTAAGTGTAAATTAGTAAATCATAACAATGAATAAAAGCTATTATTACGATCCCACTTAAATTCCAGGGCTATAAATATGCTACAATATTTTCCCACAAACTCTATAAAATTCAGATTAACATAAAGCCGTGGAAAATGCGAGTATAACGCTTTAACAATCGTGACCGATAAATTTCGCTTGTTCTTAAAAATGCGAAAACATGTCATGTGTTAGTGTATAAACGTCAAAACAGCTAAACTCGTTCCGACCCAATTTTTGTGGTAACCTGCACAAATGCAAAGATACCTTAATGTATCGGCAAAATTTAAAAATGTCGACAATAATTATTTTGGAAAATCCACCAACTTTATCAGAAAAATCTGGGATTTGTTTTTAAAGGAGAAGGACGAAAAATGGTGAACTGAAAATTAACATTTAGAAGCTATAAAATTGTCACAACGGAGAAAGGGGGTAGAGTACACTGTATATAAACAGATGCCGCAACCCTTATTTTTCCTATGTACTGTATGTACTGTATGATTTATACCTATAACAACGATTCCCTTCTGTCCCTGATCTCTGTACTTATTACAAAAACGACAGATTACACCCCTTAGTACAATGATTAAGTCTAATTGAATTATTTTATAACTTTTTTTAAAGCATATTTTTATAACCCTTGTTAGTTTGATATGCAATCGTTATTAAAAATCGACAATTTACATCTTCAAAGAAAAAATTCCAAAATGTGTAATTCATTTTTGATCAGTGGCAAATTTAATGAGGGGGGTACTTGAATATCCTCTAGAGAAAAATCTTTCTAGAACAGCCCTCCCTCCCCCTTTCATTCGGAAAAAAAGTTTTGTTTGCTATAAACAATGCATGCTTAATTTTTAAAACTGACCCAGATTATTTTGCAATTATCTATTTCCTGCCGCCCTGCTCCTCCTGCATGAAAAGTATAGAGAGCTGGCTGGGAAAATGTACCGTGCCTGTACAGTCAGAACCTCTCTTGCCGGTACTAGTAGAAAACTCCTTGTCGGAAAAAAATGACATTAAAGTTTAAAACTTTCCCAATGGCTAGTTTATTTTTCTTTGCATTTCATCTCATTTGTACACAGTTTGTATGGTTCAAGCACTTGATAATTTGTAATTGATAATATATAACTGATATATGTTTAAAAATGTTCAGAAGTGAGAATTCTATTGTATTCCGGTGAATCTCAGGATCAAGTATTGGTCTCCATTTTATGCAGAACTACGGATTAATTTAATCCCTCTTCGATATCCTATATGTATTCATACCCTGCAAGGATAAACTCAATTGAGGGATCAAGCATTGATCCTCAAATTTAAAATTAAGATTAAAATAACACTTTTTCTGGTTACCAATGTATGTTTTTTCCCCCAGATACACTAGAATAGATCGCTAATGCCAGCTGCTTTTGAAAAATTGGATAACCCTCGAGCTGCATAGTGTAACCCCTGAGATGGTTTTTGTATACAAATAATGTTGTGAAGTGAATTAGTAGATAAAATATTAAATTATATCTAATCATTATGATTCTTAAGTTTTGTTACCCCCCCCCCTTTCATTATCCCATATTCAGGGTATGTACCTCCTACCCCTGGAAAATATCATAATAATATCACAACCTAACAAAATGCACATGATTACACTTTAGGCTAAAAGCTGAACTAATCGTCAGGCATACTATACTCCCTGATTACCTTAGATTACCTTTACCCGACTAAATCAAATTTAGACCTACTTCCAGTCATCGAATTTCAACATTCTATAGCTCTTTTGAAAGCCTACACTACAACTTCTGTAAAGAAATTTTGCGTAGATTTTTGCAAAAACGCTTTAAAAGGGAATTTTCACAATTTTTATTTTTCTTGAATAAACTTTTAAGTTTTGAAAATTTTGAAAATATTTTTGCATATTTGAATTTGCTGGGTCAAGGGCTTTTCAAAAATGTATAAATTAGCAAAGTATGAGCATTTTTTCTTTTTTCAAATGTTTCGCTTAAAATATTGATTTAAAATATTAAAATTCTTGCAAATTTTCAATTTTTTCAGATTATTAAAATGGAGCTCAAGGGATTTCCAAACATGTATCATATGTTTTAGATTTGTATCTCAATAAGGAATTAGAGGGGGGTGTCACTGTAACCCCTCCCCCCCCCCGGTCTATTTTGGGTAAACCAGATGTCAGTCGGAATAGGGTTAAAATTATAAGTAACCCCCAGACAAAGTTCTTTAGTCCGAACATTTTTTACCAAGTTTAGCGGTTATTATTTGACAAATTTTCCACGTTTTTAGAATATTTTCGACAGTTAGTTTTTAAACTAATTGGGTGCAGTACGAAGTACTCAAACCAGTCAAACGCTCTTGGGGAACACATATACAATATATACATACAGGGTTACCCACAAAGAATGAGACTTTAAAAACAATTGTACGGAATTTATAGAGTCTCTTTCCTTATATTCATGATTCATTCAAGTAAAAACTTCTTTCTTTCTTTGCAAAATCATTAAATAAGACATTTCAAGGCCACAATCAGGCCAGAAGACTTAATTTAAACTTTGAATCCTCATATTTCAAGAGTTTCAAGTCGTCTTTACAGTCTCATCCTTTGTGGGTAACCCTGTATATAATATAGACCACTATAAGTTTACAAAATTCTATAAACTTTATAGCATTGAAAAAATTAGGTACATAATTATTAAAACGCTTATTATATATATTCACAGTTTGGAAACTTGGTCTCAATTATTAAAAGAATAAGTAACAATTTGCTCTCCACCAATCGATAACTCTTTTGCACAGAAAAAGTTAAGAGAGATCCTGAAATAAAACAATTAAAAGTTAAAAAAAAGTTTTGATATAAATATAAACCAAGAATAAGCTCCAAGCTCCCAGCCAACCCTTTGGGTTAAATCCGATTATTCGGGGGGGGGGGGATTCCTGTTATTGAAAATATAAATGGCTGCCCTGTTATTGAAAATGTAAAATGGCTGCCATGTTATAAAAATATAAAATGGCCTCCCTGTTATTAAAAATATAAAATGGCTGCCCTGTTATTGAATAAATAAAATGGCTGCCCTGTTATTAAAAATATACAATGGTTTCCCTGTTATTGAAAATATAAAATGGCTTCCCCGTTATTGAAAACATAAATGGCTGCCCTATTATATAAAATGTAAAATGGCTGCCCTCTAACTAAAAATATAAAATGGCTGCCCTGTTATTGAAAATATAACATGGCTGCCCTGTTTTTGAAAATAAAAAATGGCTACCCTGTTATTCAAAATACAACATCGAAATACTTCAGATTAAGTGCTAATTTTCTTCCTTAATCATCTATATTCAATTAATATTTACTGTAATCTATTTATATGTATAATATTTAGATTTGAACCAGATCTGAACGAGAGTAAATAAATATTCTTTCAAAAAAACTTAATTTAAAAAGGGTTTTAAAATCACCCGGCTCTTCAGTCTAAGACTAGATATTACAACAGCTGCCTCCAGCTCTGTTGTACATCTACCATGAATTCTCACCGGCGGAGATTTAAAACTATATAAAAGTTTATTGCATTTTCCCAAGATATAAAACTAGAGGTTTAAACATCATCAGAATGGGGGTGCCAGGGGAGGGGGTTAGACTTAGGAGGAAGGAGGTTGGTGGAGATTTTTTTCAGTTTGAAATATACATTTTAAAAAGCGATCTGAGGATGAAAAAACTTTTAAAACTAAATCATGAAACATTTGCAATGTTCTCAATCTCCCCCCCCCCCCCCCTTTTGAAAAGAAAGGATTGTGGGAAAAAAGATGAAAAAGGAAAAAGGAAAAGGGGAAGTGGGATGAGGGGAAAGAAGGGTAGAAAAAATAAGAGAAGGAATATTGCATAGGCGCAGTGGTTGGATCACTGTAGCTTGAGAGATGAGATCAAAGTTCAAGATGCATTGAGTATTCCAAATTTGGAATATTCAATGTTTTGTAATTTTTTTTTTGAGGGGGGAGGGGGGGGCTCTACAGAGTGGGGAGGGGGGATTGCTAAATTTAAATTACACAGCTACTGAAAACTGAAAACTGCCTTGCTTAAAGTCCAAACATTTTAGTTCTGCAATAAATAAATCCAGCTGTAAAAAGTATACCAACAATCTATAATATTTATGTGTATATGTATATTCAGTGTTTACATTATAAATAAATATCCTGAAAATAGACAATGCATTATTTGTGTACGTCACTTAGCCACGGCGCTAGGCACAGAAATTGTCTGGCGTAGGTCCGATATTGCAGAAGTTCAGTAGGGGGGATGTTGCGTATAGACGAGGAAACATTACCAGAATATTTCGGTGTGCTTCATACAAACATATTTCTCAAAAAATTGTCCGTCAGATTCCTTGAGAAAAGTATGCTCTTGATACTGAATTTTATGTGGAGTAATTTATAAATGGCAATTCTAGAAGGGGGGGGGACTTTATCATTGTAAAAACAAATAATTTAAAAAATAACCAGACACAATTTAGTGCAATTATTCAATTGCAAACAAAAGATTGCAAGTTTTGAAATAATGTAAGGCGAAATAGTTAATCTTAATTTATTTTAATTTGTCCATCATCTATATCCCCCCCCCCCCAGAGAAGTTGCGCCTAATTGTTATTTGAGTTATCATACTCGAAGATAGCGGACGACATTTGAAATATGTTGTGCCAGTACAAAATAATATACTGGACTATCGAGCCGGTACTAGATATATAGCCGCCTGGGCTGCGCGCCTAGTAAGCCCATGTGACACTCTTAACCTTCGGTGACGTGTATTCCTATATTTTCTATAGGAAATGTATTCTATAGTTTGTATAGAGCAGGAAAGAATCTTATTTACAAAGTAACGTGTCCAAAAAATATCCTCAACTGTCGCTCAATCTTTTAGCATTTTCTCCTTCATAAAGTAAAAATAAATTTGTTTGTGGATTTACAATTTGCTTTTTTCGTGGATTTTCTAAATTTTACGAAAATCAAAAATGTTTGCAGAAAGATTTTTGTAATTTTGAGCGTCCATAAACTTTCACTGATCGGGTCTGAGGTCCAACACAAAATTTGGGCCCGATCGGTTCTGCCGTTTCAACTTGTATTGGATAAAAACAAACAGAGAGACTTATAAACAACGCATATACTATATAAAAATGTTAGGTCCTTTCCCAAAGAATTTTTCCCAAGTGGAAACTTCCCAAAAGTATTTTCCCAATTGGCAACTTCCCAAATGTGCGATTTCCCAAGCGGCAACTTCCCAAGTCTATCCTAGCCGCAGCGCTCGGCCCCCCGTTGCAGTCTGCGGTGCCTCAGAGGGCGTAACCTAACCTTTGTGAAGTTGCCGTTTGTGAAATTGCACATCTGGGAAGTTTCCACGTTTGAAGTCGCCCGTGGGAAAATGCTTTTGGGAAAGTACCTGACACCAAAAATATATATAATCATACACAAATAGCAAGTACCTAACACCATATATATACATAGATAGATGTATGTGTGTGAGAATGGGGTATGTATGTGATA